TGTTGTTGAGTTCCCGTAATTAGAATAGTAAGTTTTAGAAAATTAGCAAATAATCAATTATAATAATTTAAAGTGACTGCAGTCGTTTTAAAACGATTGTTTTGAATTTGCAACTATAATATACGAGATTCTATTTTTTAAAACCACTTGAGATCGAAAAATGAATTCAAACACTTAAATAAACAGAAATGACAATGAATATATGTACAAATAAAAAACAATTAAAAGTGAGAAAAATATCATACCAATATAAACTGTAAAAATATAAGGGTTTGTTCTTTGAATGTGCTTCTTTATACTTTGAGTAAAACTAGATTAAAAAAAAAAGAATAAAGAAATAGAAGATTATAGATAAATTAAAGATGAAGAAGAAGAAGAAGAAGAAGAAGAAGAAGAAGAAGAAGAAGAAGAAGAAGAAGAAGAAGAAGAAGAAGAAGAAGAAGAAGAAGAAGAAGAAGAAGAAGAAGAAGAAGAAGAAGAAGAAGAAGAAGAAGAAGAAGAAGAAGAAGAAGAAGAAGAAGAAGAAGAAGAAGAAGAAGAAGAAGAAGAAGAAGAAGAAGAAGAAGAAGAAGAAGAGAAAAAGACGAAAGCTGGAGCTCCAAAGAAGAGCAAAATAGCGAAATTAACAGCTATGATTTGAAAAATGGGTATTAAGGTCATTATATACTGAGGGCATTTTGGATATTTCAACAATATGTACAAGGATAATTTGAACATTTTAACCTAAAAGTAAAAAAATAAAAAAAACTTTTCTATAGTGAATTAGGCCTAAAAAAGTTTTGAATGACTTGATTAGGCCTTTTATAAAAATACCTCATTTACTCTCTTATCAAAATACGGATACAAACATCATAAGCAGGGATATTATAAATAAATATGAGTGATAGTGGCGTTGGTATCCCCTTTAGCCAAGTACAAGCTGGTGTGGCGATCAATCCGTGGGAAAAACCAGCATCACCACCCGATTTATGTACACGATAAATTCGATACCACTTATCGGGTTTGTTTGTTGCCATTTTTCCATGATTCTTGTCTCATGTATTTGAATAGCAGTTACTGCAATTTTGGGTTAATACTATTATTTGACAGAGAAGATAATGAATGATTTTACGATTCACGAACCATATTATTAATTATTGTTAACAAAACCTGACATTTGATCATTTGTTAACTGGGATAGAAGGAAGACTTTAATTTGTTTAAAATCAATCATACCTTTGGTCCAGTTTTAGTTTCAATCTCTGTATTAGTTTCTATTTTTGATATGCAGGTGATAAGTGTGTTTTTACACACTTATTTGGATCATAAACATGACTTAAACATGGATAAAATGGTTGAATTGTGACTTAATCCAGTTAAATTTATGCATTGTAGGTAATTCAATGGAAATTGTGGAATTCAGGAGAAAAGAGCCGAAGAAGGACTAAAACGCAACAATTTGATAGTTCGAGGACCAAATGTGCAAATATTGAAAAGTTGAGCTAAATGCAAAAAGAGAGTGAAAACATGCCAAGTATGAGCTCAATGACAAAGCAAAACAAATGGAAGAAGAAAATATTGAAGAGGGACTGAAATGAAGACAATTGAAAGTTGGAGGACTAAAGCGCAAATACTCAAAAGATATGCCGAATGAGGGGCATGAGAATTGATGGTATCAATCATCAATTGGAAGATAAAATTTGTTGAAAAGATGAAGAAATCGAAGAAAGAAGTCAAGAGAAGCAACAAAGAAGTTCAGGGACCAAATTGAACAAACCACATAGATGGTTACTTCTATGCGACCGCATAGTGTAACCTTCTATGCGGTCGCATAGAAGGCTTCAGGGACTCAATGATCCCAAACAATTTGAACTATGCGACCGCATAGATTCCTTCTATGCGGTCGCATAGAAGGATTTTTGAATCTCGGGCGCAGTTTTTCGTTTTGGTTGAAACTCCTTTCCTACTTAATTTGGACGCGATATAAATACCAGAATTCATCATATGAAGAGCAGGAATGACCAGGGAGAAGAGAGAGACCAAAATTGGAGGCAAGAAACTTGATTTTGGATTCAATTTCACACGGGCTCAAAACGGATGGAAGATTATACACACGGATTGAAGAAATTCCATACGGGTGTATTCTTATTATCTTTTAATTTCATTTTTTTTAATTTCTTGATTTTGCAATGATGACTATAGGCTAGGGTTCTTGTTCATTAGGAGTTTGATGAACCTTTTGATGATTTAAATTTCCGTTATTTCATAAATTCAACATTAGTTTCGATTGAACAAATGTTTGATTTATATGATTTGAATGTTTTCATAATTATTTGGCCAATTATTATGTGATTGTAGATGATTTATTCTTTGCATTCGAAAGAAGGGGAATAATTCGATAGAATATAAATCGACATAGGGTCCGATAGGGGATGGAAACTTACCTCTATGCTTTATGCAATTCATGAAAATGTTCTCCAAAGAAGAGCAAAATAGCGAAATTAACAGCTATGATTTGAAAAATGGGTATTAAGGTCATTATATACTGAGGGCATTTTGGATATTTCAACAATATGTACAAGGATAATTTGAACATTTTAACCTAAAAGTAAAAAAATAAAAAAAACTTTTCTATAGTGAATTAGGCCTAAAAAAGTTTTGAATGACTTGATTAGGCCTTTTATAAAAATACCTCATTTACTCTCTTATCAAAATACGGATACAAACATCATAAGCAGGGATATTATAAATAAATATGAGTGATAGTGGCGTTGGTATCCCCTTTAGCCAAGTACAAGCTGGTGTGGCGATCAATCCGTGGGAAAAACCAGCATCACCACCCGATTTATGTACACGATAAATTCGATACCACTTATCGGGTTTGTTTGTTGCCATTTTTCCATGATTCTTGTCTCATGTATTTGAATAGCAGTTACTGCAATTTTGGGTTAATACTATTATTTGACAGAGAAGATAATGAATGATTTTACGATTCACGAACCATATTATTAATTATTGTTAACAAAACCTGACATTTGATCATTTGTTAACTGGGATAGAAGGAAGACTTTAATTTGTTTAAAATCAATCATACCTTTGGTCCAGTTTTAGTTTCAATCTCTGTATTAGTTTCTATTTTTGATATGCAGGTGATAAGTGTGTTTTTACACACTTATTTGGATCATAAACATGACTTAAATATGGATAAAATGGTTGAATTGTGACTTAATCCAGTTAAATTTATGCATTGTAGGTAATTCAATGGAAATTGTGGAATTCAGGAGAAAAGAGCCGAAGAAGGACCAAAACGCAACAATTTGATAGTTCGAGGACCAAAGGTGCAAAGAAAAGTTGAGCTAAATGCAAAACGAGAGGGAAGACATGCCAAGTATGAGCTCAATGACAAAGCAAAACAAATGGAAGAAGAAAATATTGAAGAGGGACTGAAATGAAGACAATTGAAAGTTGGAGGACTAAAGCGCAAATACTCAAAAGATATGCCGAATGAGGGGCATAAGAATTGATGGTATCAATCATCAATTGGAAGATAAAATTTGTTGAAAAGATGAAGAAATAGAAGAAAGAAGTCAAGAGAAGCAACAAAGAAGTTCAGGGACCAAATTGAACAAACCACATAGATGTTACATCTATGCGACCGCATAGTGTAACCTTCTATGCGGTCGCATAGAAGGCTTCAGGGACTCAATGATCCCAAACAATTTGAACTATGCGACCGCATAGATTCCTTCTATGCAGTCGCATAGTATATTTTTGAAACGTCGGGCGTAGTTTTTCGTTTTGGTTGAAACTCCTT